TCTTTAGGTTTTATTTTGGTGGAAATTGGTGGATATTCCAGATTGTTTTGGTGGTGCACAGTTCAACAATCTCACAGTTGTTCCCTTTGTGGAGCTGTGCCTGGTGAAAGTCCGGGCCCAGCATCATTAGCGCTGAGAATAACACCAAATACTTCAAGTACATAAAGGTGATACAATGTGTAGCCTAAGCGGAAGCGGTGTTCTTTGTGCTGCACGCTGCCTTTTCTTGTTCAGTTAACAGGTTTTTATCCATAAGCCAGGGCAGCCTCAGGGCGGTGTGGAGGTTCCAAAGCATACAATATGTCTGTTCTAATGACTCCAGGTCCCTTGAGAAGCCTCTTTAACTTCAAACCCACACACACTAATTTATGTGTGTGTGTGTGTGTGTGTGTGTGTGTTCTGCGTGTCCACATAGACGAATGGAAGCTAATGAGGGACTTCCTCTGCTCAAAGGGCACTCTGGGTGCTAAATGCTCAGTGCTGTGATATGAGATTTGTGGGTGGGCAGAGTAAATCAAATGGCACCGGTATCTTTACAGAAGCTGCATCAAACCCCGAGCCTGTCTCTGTACATCCAGATTATAATAAATACAATGGCAGAATGTAGCCAAGTACATTTAAAGGTACTTGTACTTGAGGATTTCCATTTTATGCTACTTTTTTTCCTTCTATATATTTTACTTTTTTATCCACTACTTTTATTTGACAACATGAGATACTAGTTTCTTTGTAGATTCAGATTGTTTTCCAATATATATATATCAACTAATACATTATGATATATTATCATGGTGTAAGGGACCCAGCAGTATATAAAGGACTTAAAGTTTGCCCCATCGATACTACCTGCAACATTAGTGATGCTTACACATTAATGCATTACTAATTATAAGGAAATAAGAGACCGGTGTGCCCACATAGAATTTTATTTATATCGCACCAATTCCTAACAGAAAATATCTCATAGCACTTTTCATATAGAACAGGTCTAGACAGTACTTTTTGTAATAGTATTTACAGAGACCTAACAATTCCCACCATGAGCAAGCACTGGGTGACAGTGGCAAGGAAAAAGTCCTTTCAACAAGCAGAAAACTCAAATGATTGGGTTGCTAGAGAGAGAGGGAGGAGGTCAGATGTCAGACTTTTTATGTGAAGATGAAAACCATATTGTCGTCACTATACTGTTGCTGTTTACATTCCCCCAGACGCAAATTCAAAAAATGCACTGCAGCCTTATTCCCTGGGTGTATAGGTTTATGTGTACCTTGTCTATGTATAATAGACAAGGTACATTTTATATTTGACCCTGTTTTAGTAGATATTTTATTATCTGTGAAGCATGAAGGGACTACAAACCTTCATTTTGTTGTACAACCTTGTGTTGTATAATGATAAATTACTTTGATCCTTGATCTAAAATATATAACACACACACACACACACACATACAGGACTTATTACGAAGTGTTTTTTCACTGTGATGTTGCTACTTTTACATAAGTAAAATATCAGTGTGCTTTGTTCTCCACTGGATAAATATGCCGCATACTGTTATTAAAGCAGTTCTTTTTTTATCTGTACCTGGATCCGCAGTCTTTTCTCCCACTGTTCCCACTGCTGGTGTTCCTCGCTCTGTAAACACTGTCATGGGTTTGTTTTGGTCAGCTCCAAAGTCGAATACCATTTCCTTTGTTTTGTTAATACTTTCTTCAGGGAAATTACTCTTATAGCACAAAAGGAACTCATCAGTCTACCTTCTGTAATTCCGTCTTCCTGAATTAAGCACAGTGTTGCTCATCAGCAGGTTTTATTGTGATCGCTGCAGTTACTCCCACAGTTATTAGTATGTAGAGTGAAACAACCTGGGAGACAGTGTTTCCTTCAACTCCTGTGTTGGGGATAAGAAAAAAGACACAGCAGCAGTTATTCTAACTCCCTGCATCCTCCACCTGATTCTCATCTTAATACCCAGTAATTTTTTTTGAACATGATATATGGTCTGATGATTTTGAACAAAATTATAATGTTCCTGGCAGTCAACAAGATGAGAAAAGGAATTAACACAGTTGTCTGTAAGCAGATCCCATGAACAGACCCAAACCAACAATGTGTTAGTCCGTCTCTCCATACTTTCTGACTTCACTACTCAGGTCCGAGCCCACTGTTTCACTGAAACATATAAAAATATATTCCAATATCTCAGCACTTTGCTAAAACATCTGGCCACTGTAGTTCTTAATAAAACAATATTCAAACAGGAGGTAGTGCATTTATTTTCAGTGACCGATAAATACACATTTGGTTCTCTAGTGAGTATTTAGGTGCAGCGAGACGGTGTATGTGGGATTGAGTAAAAAATAAACTACAGTGTTCATGTTCATTTCTAGATGTAGTGTAAGTGTAATTTTCCTGATATTGGACACTGCAGTACACCTGAACACAATTCATACACAAGGCCTTGTTTTAGGTTTCGGACTTTATTGTCCCCAAACAGAAATATGTTTTCACAGCACTGTACACATCAGACAACAACAGCACACAGTAAGAACATACGATGACAGACAAGTACACACGCAGCTACGGCTGCGGGGATCGGGCTTTTCCCAAAGCTAGCCTTTCTGCGCCCCAGTGCTCTGTAGCTGCGCCCAGAGGGCCGTATGGTGAGGTGGTGAATGAGTGAGTTGCTGTGAGGTGACAGTGCTGCCACCCTCTGAGCCTATGAGACTGCCACTCACATCTGCAAAATTGCTGAAACAAAGGATGCTGCACATGGTGAATAACTAAAATCCCCATTGGCATTTTTTTTCGTTTTCTCGTTTTCTCGTTTTAAGAATTCTTGATGGCAAAGTCTTACAGTATGGCTTATGTGACCAAATATTTGTTAAGATCAATGCTTTTCTTTTGAATACAATGTTAAGATCACCAGTAAATGTTCTTAAAGTCAGTGTTAATTGTCACACTTTCTTTACAAGGGAGATATTTATGAGATACAGAAAGATGTCAGGATAGTGGGCTATTCCACTGTCTTCACAAAACTGAACAGTCTTTACAGTCTACATCTTTACATCAGTGCAGGAAATTGAAGTGGAATATTTCCCATGACGTGTACACAGATCATGTCTTGTAGTAGTACCTTATTCAGTTCAGTACTACTAGCTTTAGGTTTCTGCTTATAGGAGCAGGTGGATAACCTTATTATCCCAGTCCCTGGTGAGTCCCTGGTTTAAAACACAGGAAACCACCTTTGTGTTTTAATAAGGTGATTTTACTAACTTATTGGGCTAAATAATAGGGCTGCAACTAACGATTATTTTCATTGTCTATTCTGTCAATTTTTTTTCTCAATTAGTCGATTACTTGATCTGTCTATAAAATGTCACGTGTTATTTTTCCCAAGGCCCAAGATGTCGTCCACAAACATCTTGTTTGTCCACAACCCAAAGATAAAGCAGAAAATATTTGGATTTAATAAGCTGGAATCAGAAAATATTCTTAAAAAATTACTTAAACTGATTAATCGATTATTAAAATGGTTGGCGATTAATTTAATAGTTAACAACTAATTGATTAATCATTGCAGCGCTACTAAATAACAAAGTTGTAAAAGCTAGTATAATGGGATTCAGTTGAAGTTCCCTTTATGCTACTCACAAAAACAAACGTTATACAAAAATGATATACAGTAAATGGGTGAATAAAGAATAAGCCATAGAAATAAAACTATACTACATGTTGGAATGCTGCAGATGAATAATGTAGTCTCACAGCCTGGAGGAAGAAGCTGCTCTGAAGTCTGGTGGTACAACAAGAACTTGGCAGTCATTATTTCAAATATGCTGCGTTCCAAATCACATGCTTTTTCTTTATACTATTAGTACGTACAGCTGCTGCCCTTACAAAGTACATTGGGACATACTACTTTGTCATAACATTGCATTCCAAAAGCATGCTGGTTTGCATACTGCAAAATGTGACCAGATGCAGTAGGACATCCTGGCATTATTTGGCACACTGCATTTCACATAATATGTATTGGGACATACAAAATTTTCAACCTACGTACAATAAACCTAAACTCAACCTTTCCCGCACGTATGCTTCAAATTAAAGGCCTTCCGGCAGCTCAAAGGGCATTTTCAACCTGTTCCTTGTAGGCTTGATTGTAGAGGATGTCATCTAAAAACATTATTTGTGGTAAAAAGGACAAACAAAGAGTAGCAGCATGTCGCGTATAACATGAATTACATGTCCTGATGGAATTAGTGCTGCGGAAATGTATATTGAAATTTTCAAGACAACAGGTCTCAGAGGAAGTGTTCAGTTTCTATTAACAGGAAATTTAAACTTACTAAATAAGGTAATGATAAAGTATACTCATACAGTTACTTACCTAACAGTGAAATAAGAAATGATGGCCTCTCTCTCAAATGTAGATAAAAGGCTGTTTTTCTCTGCAGAGCTAAATAAAGGCCACTATTTGAGAATTCCCAGCAGTCATAGTGTCCGTTAAGTCATATTTGTCTGGTTGTCAGATCCCTCTGTTTCAGTCCCTCACCTCTCTGGTCTTGCTCTTAACACATTCTTGGCCCCCTCTTGGTCTCAGTGTTGGTTTGGTTTCAGTTAAATAGTTTCCATCACAAGTCTAATACCACACATCATCATTACATCATTGCACATCCATCAGTCCACCTCGTTTCAGCTGATTTGGTGTGTTATTGCCATGACAGAACAAATCCATACTTCGCCAAAGCAGAAAATAAGAGAATTAATCACGTTTATACCTACATGTACATCTCTGTATTTTATTTAGCATCCTTCAGTTGTACAGTACCTAATAATAGCTTCTAAATGGAGATGCTCAGATTGATGATCACACTCCTCTCCCACTCCCAACCCCACACCCCTTTCCCTCCCGTCGTCTTTATCATCCTCTATCCCTCATTTACCCTCTGCTCTCTCCCACCCCTTTCTTCTCCATCCCTATCTCTCTCCTGCAGCTGTCGGAGTTATTTGTCTCCTTTGAGGAGAAGCCTCAGGGTGCAGCCTCCTTAGCCCAGGTCCACAAGGCAGTGTTGCATGATGGGAAGACAGTGGCCGTCAAGGTCCAACACCCCAAAGTCCAGAGACAGAGCTCCAAGGACATAATGGTGATGGAGGTGAGTATGTGTCTGTTAAACTACTTTCAAATAAGTGGAGAAGTGGCGGGGTGTTGTGATGGCTCAGAGGTCCAAGACACAGACTTGTGACATACTGGCCTCAAATATTGATTACTGATGCATGTCATTCTTTCTCTGTCAATGACCTCACACGCAACTTGAAAAAAGTGCAAAAGACCCCTAAACTGGGAGATTCCAGGTACAACATCTGAGGTCTCTGTCCAGAAGAGTGCAGTGCTAGGAAAAGCTAAAATACTGCACAGACCCCCACCCTTGAGCTAGTGGACGACACACACCAGCATCCCAGCGGGGGGCGAGTGGAAGATTTTATATTTTTCCCACACACCTAGGCACATCAATGCAGTAATGAGAGTGATAAAATCAATACAGGTTAGTGTCCTCAGTGATCTTTGTATCCCAGGGATGTGTCTGTTTATCTCTTCCCTGAGGGGGATGAGAAGGGGGGAGGGGTTAGCAGCCCATGAACAGCAGACACACACAGTCCTGTGTGTCCTCGACAGAGCTGTAAATCCAATCTCACATTTTCTTTTGTTACAAGCTCAATTTTCTGGCTAGATATGTTTTATATTAACAACTTTTGTTTCATTATCTTCTCAGAAAGTCTAAACACTCCATCTAGGCTACAGCAAGTGTGAGGCCAGAATGAAGCTATCAAAACACAGCCCTATAGGCTAATGCATAATATCAAGGAAGCTCAGACGTATACGGTTGAGAAATTGGTTTAAAATGTTCTTCGACATATGTCATTAGGGTTTAAAGCAAAGGGCCTACACTACTGAAACTGTGTGTCTTAGGACCCCTGTGTTCAACTTAATGGAAATCAGAGATGTTTCTTAAACACGACAGTGTCCGGTTCGATGAAGGAAATCTGTGCAGGCATTCACAGAGGATACTTGTTTTGTTTGGCCCCACGTATGTGTGTAAACAAACTTTTTCTGTGATGAATTACAATAAGTCATGTTACAGATCGTGGCTGACGGATAGAGATCTGTCCTCTCTGCTGCGTCGTTTAACATCCGACGTGACGCCAGACTTTGATGGTCTTGCAAAGAGAGGTGACTGTCTCAATTGTTCCCATTAGGCTAAATGAAACGGCATTCCCTTTCATGACACACGCTGTCATTCATAAATAACTCACAGCTATAGTTAATTCTCATAGGTAAGTTACAATTACACAAGTAAAACTGAAAATTAATAAATGTATACATGTATGAGAAAATGTGTGTTTGTTCATAAATAGTAAATATTAGCCTGATCTTTTCTTTATTCAGTGATACAGGTCTGTGATGCAAAGGTATTAAAGTTTGAGTTAATACACAAGTAAAATCAGTTACACAAGGAATAACAGAACAAAAATGATTTAAGTCAAATTATACTGTATATATTTTTTCTATTGTATGTATTTGCTCATAATTAGTGTCATAATTAGTGAATATTAATATTTTCTTCATTCAGTGATGCAGGTCTGTGCACTAATGGTAAATAATAAACTGTGATAACTGTAAAGCAGTCCACCTTCTATGTTTATAACTTAATACAAAGTGTTTAATAAGTGACACATGCAGTTGTGCATATCAGACAATCAATGATGCTTTAGGGGAGCAATCACATGACAAAACATTATGGTATTTTGGTTGTAACTGGTGATTTTTATCAAACAGACCACAGAACTGTTCCTCGCCAGTATGTGCATTAGCAAATGTGTTGATGATGTGGTGATCACAAAGAAACTAATATCATTCCCCAGCCAAAAAGCCTGGCTGAATGGAGAGGTGAGGGCTCTATCCAGAGCCAGAAAAGCTCCCTTTTGGTCAGGTGACAAGGAAGCATACAATACAGCTAGAGCGAGACTGAAAGCTGGCAACACAGAGATGAAGCGGAGACATCATGAAGACTAGAGACAGACCATAACAAACTAGAGACCTGCGCGGGACTGTTTTCTTGTGACCATTATCGCCCGCTCCCGCAACATGTGTTACACTACTGCCTATTCCCACAACACGTGTATCCACTCCCGCCCGCACCCGCAAACACTGTGATATGCAGAGTAAAAAAAGGACACAAATGTTTGGGCTATGCTAAACGCCCGTGTGACGGAAACCAGCGAACCTCACTCCCGACACCTTGGGAGATGTACTGGCGCCTGACGTCAGTGGCCACTGGGTTTAGCTCCCTCGTCAGTGGGTCCGCTTCCCGTACCCAAAGTCGCCGGTTGGAGTCAGGCCTGTAAAGTATGTTCACGAGCAGTCGCATGTGCTCTTTTTAATCTTCTTTTCAGCTTCATTTGTTGACGTCAGCTCAGCATTTAGCACAATCACCCCCATAAGACTGATTGGCAAACTTAGCACTCTGGGCTTATGTACACTCTGCAATTAGATATTGGACTTCCTCACAAACAGACCCCAGACAGTTTGGATTGATGGTCACACCTCCTCAACTGGAGCCCCCGAGAGCTGTGTGCTCAGCCCCATCCTGTTCACGCTGTACATCCACGAGTGCATCCCCCGACATGTAGAGAACTCTGTTCTGTAGTGAAGTTTGCAGACGACACCATAATTATCTGACGATGTCAAATAAGAGTGAGACTTGATATCAGGAAGAAATCAACAATCTTGCAGAGTGGCACACAGAGAAGACCTACAGCTCAACATCAGGAAAACCAAGGAGTTGATGGTGAAGAGACACTCCCCAGTTGAACAGTTGTAGATTCCAGGGAATCAGCATCATGAAGAATTTCCACCCTGGTTAAGAAAGCTCAGAAACGGCTGAACTTCTTAAGGAAGCTGAAAAATTCCCATGTCGAGCTCTTGTTAACTTTAACAGAGGAGCAATAGAAAGCATCCTGACTGGAAACATCACTAACTGACATGCTGGATAACTGGATGTGCACTGCCCAAGAGAGGAGTGCCAAAACACTCATATTACTTGGATATTACACATATTGTATATATTTTGTATGTATATTATGTGTGTGTATGTATATGTGTGTATGTGTGTGTGTATATATATATATATATATATATATATTACTTGTAAATACTATTTAGTTTTCCTTTTTATTTCTTTATTTAGTGCTACCTTTCTGTTTTATTGTTTATATTTTCTTCTATTTTACATATTTGAATATCTAGGTGTCTGTAGCATAGAGGGATTACTACTGATTACTACAAACAGAGGGTTGGAGAGATGCAGTGGTTTTCAAAAATCCAAAAAGTTTACAGTATTCTTGTCGACAGGACAAACTTAGACTATAAGTACTTGGCCTAATAGATTATCTGAGACAAAGACCGACCCACCAGAAGAATAATGGTATCAGGTACGAGGCCTGAAGTAATCAAAAAATAAGCTAACTGAATGTGAAAAGATGAGGTTAAAGTTTGGGTTTACAGCCCTCAACAGAGGTAGACTGCCTGACTGTCAGCAGTGAGGTTATTCCAGGGGAAGGGGGCATGATAGGAAAAGGCCCTGCAGCCTGCTGACTTCTTTTTAACTGTGTGGACAGACGAAAGAGAGTGGAGAGCGCGGGATTGAATATTAAGTTTAAGGAGATCAGATGGGTATGAAGGGGCTTGGCCATTTAGAATTTTGTAAGTCTTCAAAAGCAACTTAAAGTCTGACCCGATAATGGATAATGAAAGGAAGCTAAAACTGGTGTAATATAGCAAATCTTTCTAGTTTTTGTTCAAATTCTAGCTGTAGCATTCTGAACAAAGAATCGAAATAATCAAGTCTGGATGAAACAAACGGGTGAGTCAGGGTCTCAGCATCAGCCATGAATTTGTTCTCAGCATCCCATCCTTATTAAGAGCAGTGGGAGCAGTAAGGGGTTCAGGGCCTTGTTCAGGGGCGCCTTCGGACTCAAATCGGCGACCCTCCGGTTCACAAGCTGCCGGTATTCTTCTCTGGTTCATTTACACAATAAGAGAACATGCAATGCAATTTAAATAAAGAAGGAAATCCCAAAAAATTTACATAAGCTAAAAAAAACAAGCTACTGATTACTGCATTATATTCCATTGTATTTTTATATTTTGAATTGTCACATGATCTTTAAATAAATAATTACATTTTGACCATAAATTGGTGCAGAGAATGTCCCCAGAATGCAGCAAATAAGATATTTCAGCATCAAATATTTCTTCAAAATAGTGTTAAAATATCTTCCTTTCTTATTCTCGTGACCCAGGTGTGTCATCTTACCCCTAATCTGAGCTGTCCCCACCACTTTTCAGCACAACGTGACGCTCTGTTGACAGCGATGAGCAAACATTTGAAATCTGTGTAAAACTCGTTCTGCATGAATGGTTGTGATTATTACAAATTAGTGCTTCGAATTTACAAATCAGAGACTAACCACCATGTACAGCATTTTTCTTGCACAATAACTTATTGAATGAAAACAACACGCAAAAATGAAACAGCTGCTTTATCCAACTGGAATTATTATTGTAGCCTACCACTAATAGGCTCCGGGGCCTTGACCTAATATATACTGCCATTGACAGAACATCACGGTATATGTACATTCCTCAGTAGTATGTGTTTTAGTGTACTTGAAAGTTAGACTGATCCTGATTTGTAATCTGAAGGTGTTGTTGCGGGCAGTCCATTGGCTCTTCCCGGACCTTGCCTTCATGTGGTTGGTGGAGGAGGCCAAGAAGAACATGCCGCTGGAGCTAGACTTCCTTAATGAGGGACACAATGCTGAGAGGGTGGCCAACATGCTGGCCCACTTCCCCTTTCTCAAGGTACATTTTCTTCTTTTTATAATAACAGGCTTATAGAGTCCTCAACAGAGGTTTATTTTGACCCTGTTGGTCCCATGTGTGCACACATACTAGTAAGCAGCTGATAATGATCTGAATCAATTTCAATTTAAGACCCTAGTTAACCCTAGTTAAAATTGTTTCTGATATAATGAGGTTGGGGTTCAGTAGCATTTTTATCCAATCAATTTCCATAATCCAATCTGTTAATCAAAATCAAATCCTTTTTTCCCCAAAATATATTGAATATTTGCCATTTAGTTAAAATGCTACCTGAATGTTGTGTACATTAGTCTTTGCTACTTTGATGCAAAATAAAAGTAATACATATGAAACATTTATGGAAAAAAGCTACATTTTGTTCCTCCCCTCCTCTGTCCCTCTCTCTTAGGTTCCCATGATCCACTGGCATCTGTCCACAAAGAGGATCCTGACCATGGAGTTTGCTGAGGGGGGGCAGGTCAACGACAGGGACTACATGAAGAAACATGGTATCAATGTCAACGAGGTACTGCTCAGTCTGCTCTCTGTAAGGCTGTGTGTAGGTTACAGAAGCTAGTATTGATGGATAATCGGTGCTCTCACACTCATGCGTGCACGCACACACACATACACTGCCAGCTTGTCTACACAGCCCACATAGCTCGGGCAGCGTGTTAGCAGAGCAGCAACAGTAGCTTCAGCCTCGTCTGTGTCCACACAGAATTACACAAACACGATTAGTGTAGCTCAGCACATAAAACAGAATAAAAAATACACTTTGCTCTCATTAACACAATAGCAAGACTGAAACGTGAGCCATCGAGGTCTTTTCAAACAAGAAGCGATTGGCGTGCCTAGTAATTAATTTTCAATGAGAGGAGAGCGGGCAGGTAGGGAGCGTGGGCAATCTGACAGGCTGAGCGACCTATGGGACGCAATCCCGTCCAACAGTCGGCTGTCTTACACACACATGTACGTGTGTTAAACTTTTTGCTACGCTTTGTGCAGTGCAAATCATGTGCCATGTGCAAAGCTAACACGAGAGGACGAGACGGTCCCAGAGCCAGCACAGCAACAGCATGTCTTGGTGAACTAGAAAGTAAGCTGAATGTTTGTGAGCAAGTCATTCAACATTAGCTGACACACAAATCATGCCTGGAATAGTGCGGTGTAGCACGGTCCAATCCGCTTTGTTTCACATTTACAGAGCCAGGGCTGTGTACAGATACTGTACAAACAGAATGTACAGCTTGCGGACCATAAGGAGATATTCGCTGAATTTGGCAAAAAGACTTTTGGATTAGATTGGATTAGAATCTCTTACTCAAGTGGGAAGCTTCTGGTCAGCGATCTGATGCGAAGTCCCTTAAACCTGTATTCTATCGAATGTCCTGCAAAAAGAACTCCGGCTCCATTAGAAGTATTGGTAAAATGAGCCTACTTCTCAGCTGAATAAGTACCTCAGTAAACACTTTCATAATGAGTTTAAGGTCTCAGTCGCTAGTTTCATGTCTTCTTCAATACAATATGATGATGATTTAGTAAATAATGGTCCCATTTATTTTAAAATAGACCATAAAGCAGAGTATGTTTCAGGGCGGGATTGATTGACGTGTAACCAGCGCCGTTGAAAAAGCTTATCAGGAGTTGTCCCTTTACTTTCTCTGGTGAGTGCATTTAGTTTTAAGACAAGTTCACAAGACAAAATTGTCAGCCCAGTTAAAATGACAGTTAACGTGAGTTAGAGTTGCACCTAGCTAAGAAAGCTAGCTAGCTCCGCACACGGCCGTTAGCTCCGCCGTATCGTCACTTCTGGGCGCTTCCTGGTTGCAAAAACTCAACATGGCGGCGGCCTTTCGGCCAAATTCAAGGCTTCAAAATGGCAGTCCACAAACTAACGGGTGACAAAGTCCATGTTTTTTACAGTCAATGCTCTTACCCCACCTCTTAAGTGGCTTCCGTAGACCACTGTATTGATGAAAATAGCATCATATCTGTTCTGTCATACGCAAGTGAGACAGACAACTGAAAAGCGTGGCGCCGTAAGAGCCTAAGATTGTACTAATTCGATATAAAGTGGTTGAAGCTACACTATTGAATGGCAATCAATCAAGTTGGGAGCCAAAACAATTGAAGCATACTTTTCTGCCTCAGACTTTTGTACACTGAGATCAGCCAGTAACTCACAAAACACATTTTATTAAAGTATTATGAGCAAAATGTACGTACGGAGCCTGCAGCCCTCATCGTGGCAACCACAAAGTGATTTTATTTTTTTTGCATTTATTTATCTAGTTTGGCTTTTTTGGTAGGGATGCAACTAATTAATATTTTCATTGTCATTTAAATAGTTTAACTATTGCCTTAAGTTATGAAATGAATTGTTTGGTCCACAAAATCAGGAAATTGGTTTTTGCAGGAGCTAAGATGGTTTTCAGATTTTTTGTTTCGTCTGAACAATGGACCGAAATCCAATGCTTGATAAATGACTTCAACAATTAATCAATCTATCATATTAAAATTGTTCAGTTTACTATAAATTGTGCCATACATGAGTATTTAACTCATAGTTACACGATTAGTAGCATTAAAATATCACATTAGACACATTATACACATGAAAGCAGCAGTTTTTCATGTGTAATATGACGAAAATAGGACAATGCTTTGCTTCGATTGTATTTGCATTCTCCCCCATAAAATTTAAGAAATCACTACATGCACTGAATAACTGTATTAATAAAACTCAGTGGTACCAGCAGAGTATTTTAGAATTGATGACACATTTTTTTGTAAGCTAGACACGCACTGGCAATTTTCCTGGCCGATTCCAATTTAGGCCAATTCTGATTTTCTTAAGAACTATAATTGACAGCATTCAGCAAATGTTTTTGTAAATTTTCTTAAATTGAAAATGGTTTCTTTCTTTCTTTAGCACCAGCATAAGCAAGCTGTATGTTCATAATAAAACACTGACTATTAAAAAAACAAAAGTACACCAGGTTACACAATCTACACATAAGTGCTCCCTTAGGGTTATGCTATTGCAGAGAGGTTTTTGTACAAATAAAATCCAACTGAAAATGAACTGCAGTAGCCTAGGCACAGTGTTTTCCACAGTACGTAGCTTACACAAGATGAATTTATCCAGGCTGCGATTTCCACTGGGATCATCAGTATGGTTGACTATAGACGGGTGAAAGAATTTTTGAGTTTCTGTTTGGAAAAACAAGTCAAGGGACATGTACCACTTGCTTTAGTAATTATTTTGTTAACTGAGAACAATATAATTGTACTGTGGGACAAGGATTCCACGGCAGTAGGCAATAGTTTTCTTCCAACAGGGATAAATATGTCTAACCTAATTTATTACGTAATTCTTGCCCAGTTATGATATGACATAGGTTTTACAGTAATATGCTTCAAATTCAGCCACAATGTATGGATGCATTGTGACAATCTGCTGTTGCGTTTTTGTCGGAATTGATCCCAATTTGCTTTGTTTGCTTTGTTGCACAGAATGTTTTGGACTGTTCAGTTTCTTACAGATTCTTATTTATATTTTTAAATGACAGTATGTTTACATACATTTTCTATCCTTATTCAATAAATGACTTCCAAGGGCTATGATTTTCCCAATTGTTATTGGACGGTCCATCGTTGGAATGTGAAAATGGTCTTAATCATTGCATTTGTGAGATTAAATATCACAAACGACGTTTCATATGCCCATCAAGATGATTAATATAGTGGAATTTATGTGCAAATTAGCCAATAATACTACTACTTGTTATGTATTAGACAATTGCAGCAATCAAGAATGCATGGGCGATTTCTTTAGCCATAGCTATCCGAACATGTTCAGACAGGTAGCTTACAGATCTAAAAGGATATAAATATTTCTATGACTTCCTGTATATTCTTTGAAGGCTGCTGGTTCATCTCGTACTAGCCTTGTGGCGGCGTTCCATACCAAAATGGCATGCATCTACTCACCAGTGGAGTGACAGCTGGTTAGCTTGCCAACAAGCCAAAAAGTCTGTTGTTCATAGTTTACCTGTTCGACAGAATCAGATTATTCTGCCACTCCATCCTCTACTCAGTAGTCCCACAATCAAACCGATCACAGCAATGCATTGGAGACTAGGGCTGGGTGATATATATGAATTCATGTGAGACAGCAGATGACCATTTATCTATAATTTTCTATCACTGCTTATGCTTATTTATATTTTTTATTTTTGTGATTTTCTTAGCTTAACCATATGAAGTTTGAGTACATTTTTTTTAACGTTAAAGTGTAAGTGTTTATTTTTCAGGAAAAACTATTCAGAAGTAGGTCTAATACATTGGTTCCAAACCTGGGGACCTGCTCTACTTCCTTTCGCTCTAGCCATAACTGCCCCAAACTCACTAAAAATCACCCAGAGGTCAGTGGATTAAAGCCATGATGTATGGCATTGGTTTCTAACCTGAGGGGGCGCCAAAGATCAAAGGGAGTTGCACGAGGATTAGTCTGCTCTGAGGTTGTGAAAATTGAATTTGCACATATTAACTGAAATCATGATAACATGCTTACTGAATAATTTATACAAAGGTCTGTATACTATATACAACTATTTAAAACAACAAAGTTTTTTTAAAGAAGATTTTTTTTGTCCTTGCTGAAAAATCCTCTCAGTCACTTTCGTCAGGTCATGTAGCTAGCTCATCCTCATTTTTCATGCAGTCATGGCATCCATTATTTTATGAATGAAACAACATGTATGTGAAATGTAAAAGTGCTAATGATTCTTCAGTATCACATAACAAAGTAAGGCTATACCTCGAGAGGTAGGTAGGTAGATTTATTTTGTCACGATACAACAGGTTATAGAGTGAAATTGAGTTTGTAACTCCCTTCTGCTACGTTACCTTAACATTCGGTCTAATTGAAAGACAGAAAGGTCTCGGCCATTGTGATTTGTGGCGAGAAGCTAGCTACTGACAGCATGACGCCAAGCAAAATGAAACACCAGGAAACAAAACACCAGGAGACTATTGGTAAAGGTCAGGATTGGAAAGGCAGTTGGCACTACCAAAATAGACATCAGAAATGGCCTGAGAAATATCAGCAAACTCTGTCACATTCGTTTAGACAGCATAGTCTGTGCAAAAACAAAGTTTTGAAAGAAAACAACAACACAGGGTATTTTAGTGAAGCCGAGAGAGATTTTGAGCAACTCAGGAATGTTTTGAAGCAGACAGAATAAAATCATTATCTTTGTCCGTTCTGACTTCTGGGGATAACTTACTTCAAGAAGAATTAGTGTATTTGCTTTCAAGTGCATGCAGGCATTTCTCTGCTTGACTGTGCACTGTCAAGCAGAGAAATGTATCTGTAGTTTTGGTTATCAAATCATTTAGTCTAATTGTGTGTAGCTTTTGTGGTGGTAGTAGGCGTTAATCTGATTGCAGGCTGTTCTTTTGGTGTCACTTGATTATAATGTAGTTAATCTATTCGTATATTCCTGGTAGACACATTTTATTCTGTTTCTGTTTAAGCTAGGGTTCACCTATAGTTGTAGCCAACAAATCTGAAGGCAGTGGTTGTTTTACCCAGTGCATGCTGACAGAACCACCTGACAAGCAGCTGAAAGAAAATGGTGGAAATCCAAGCACTCTGAGGATCTCCCTGCCTGTCTCTTCTCTCCTCTTTCTCCGCTTCCTTATCTGCACGTAAAAGCTCCTTCTTTCAATCCAAAATTTAATCTTCCCTCTCCAAAACCCCAAAACTCTTTTCTATCTGCCCTACCCTCCCTGACCCCCCCATCTCCCTCCTCCCTTCTACCAAGTGACTTTGTTAACTACTTTGTAAAAAAGAGAGATGACACACGCTTTTCATTTCCCTACCCACGTGCTGAGACCACCTGTCCTATAGTCATCTCTTCATCTCCTATTCTTACTTCCTTTTCACCCCTGTCCCCCAGTGAGGTACTAACCCCAGTTACCTCCCACTGCCCAACCACCTGCCCTCCTGACCCTATCCTAACTCATGTTCTCTAGTCTATTGCAACTGACCTCATTCCTTTCTACTTCCACCTCATCACTACCTCATTGACAAAGCAGCTGGAGTGAACCCTCTTTTGCCGAAACCCACACTCAACCCTTCTGATGTAAGCAGACCTTAGTCTCTTCAACCATGACCAAGACTGAGGAAGACCAGGGAATGCAGTTCTCATCCATGGCCTCTTCAGTACAATTAAGAACTCTGCAAGTAACCTGGGTGTGACACTCGATGACCAGCTGACCGTCGTTGCCCACATCGCTGCGACGTTGTCCTCCCGTATAGAGGGCTGTTGGCACAAATAATGTCTCAGAGATTTTGTGTGTAGATGCCATTAAAAAGAGTTCTGACCGAGCCACACAACACTATTCCAGCCATGATTTGTGTGTCAGGTAACATTAAAGTTCTTGTCCACAGATATTCAGCTTACTTTCTAGTTTGCCAAGACGTGCTGTTGTTGTAATGTTAGCTCTGGTAGCAGGAGAGCTGCGAGTATCTGTCTGGAGCTGCTGTGCTGGCTTGTGCAGCATGAACACGCGAAGCGAAAGTATCCTGGAGCACTGACGGCAGCACCGCAAATCTTGTTTTCTTTCTGTCTCCACACAAGCACGGCACGTAATCAGCACGAGGACACGTAGTCCGTTAAAATGTATTTTCTAAGTATTCATGTTAAAAGTAATTTCTACCCCGCAGCTGTCATGGCAACGTAACGTTACACCGTTTTTATATTTTCTGTTTATTTAACGGCCACAAATGAGCGAGCTGAATCTAACATTACAGACAATCTGTGCATAGTCGTTAGATTAATCGACTTGAAAAATAATCGTTATGTACAGCCCTAATCAATACACAGTGAACATCAGTACAGAGGTAAAAAACAGTGTTGTTTACTGATTGTACCAACCAAAGCTTAATATTGTTACAGTGAAACTGAAGCTGCAACCTACAACACAACCCACATAGCCTAAACTAGTGCCTCTGTTGCCTTTCTGAGTGACAAGCTAACAGGTAACTCAGATTTGTCCTAATAAAATACTTTAAGGGAGTTGTATTTTAAAAAGCCAGCAAGAGCCATACCTTATTCCATCTGTTGTGTTGAATCCAAAACCCTTTCTCACATTTCTTCTCGGATGGTTTAGTGTCATGATTATCCGTTCAACATGGCTTGCTAGTTTTCACCACTTTGCATTATTGAAGAGAACAGCCCAGTTTACTGATAGGATAATAGGGCATACAATAGATCTGAGTGACAGCCCAAGGCAGGCCCTGTTGCAGCTATACACCGAACTTTGTCTGCTTGGTTGACTGACACAGCTGTCTAGAAAAGAAGGCGCTTCTTGCTAGGTAACCCAAGGTTGGGATGATCTTTATTTTATTTCATTACAGGCATACTGGCTGACTCTCTGTAGAAAGTGTTGCATGTGGCTTGAATAACACACAACGTGAGGTTATCATAGGTGTCATAGGTAAGCATAGCATCTTGTTTTGAACCAATATCCAATAGACTCTTCACACATGTATAGAGGGGTGAACAATAACCTTTTTTGGACACTTAGTGAATCTCTGTAGGTCTAGGAATGCTGAATATCCCCAAACAGGAAGTACCCTTCAGATTGGTTTTGGTACTACATTATATCCATATACAGCTGTGTGCTGTTACCATCAACAATGCTGTGTAAGTCATCAGGAGTATCTGAGAATTTGTTCATCACACCTGGCTCATTTTATTATCATCACAGATTTTCTATGAAAATGATGGGTGATGGATAACAAATTAGTTTTGTGAAGATGTGCATAAATCATAATAACAATAACCAATATTGTCACACTTACTAAAGGTAAAACCTAAAAACAATTCTAAACGTGTGTGGGGGGGTAATTTATTAAAAATGTTTTAGTTCTGTTGTCTTCTAAATGAAAATGTTTGTATTTTTGTGAAAGCTTTTTGGATTTAACTCTTTGTCATCTTCCAAACAGATCTCAGAGAACCTGGGTAAGCTGTACAGTGAAATGATCTTTGTGCACGGCTTTGTTCATTGTGACCCACACCCGGGCAATGTGCTGGTCCGAAAGTGTCCCCAGAGCAGGAAGACCGAGATCGTCCTGCTCGATCACGGCCTTTATCAGGTGGGAAATCTCCAGGCTGCCCGCACATCAATAAAATACAATTTTTCTAATATTGCAGTCCATTTTTCATGCTGCTGGCTGAAGCCTTGAGTAAATGGGTAAAGCAGCAAATGCAGTCAAGATGCACATAAAAATGGATGCCACACACACTGTCACAGGCAAACACACTTTAAGTAGAGCTACAGCACGATAAAAGCTTTTTGATAAACAACTCATTTGATGTTGTTCTTAGCAGAGTGCAGTGTACTGGGTTTGAATTGGTGCGCCGCAGCCTTAATCACACTGCCGCATATGTGCACTCTCATGTTCTTCAACACACACACTCTTTGATTGTTAACTCAAACACCCTCTGGTCTGACATGAGTTTGTTTACTGCTTGCTTCTGTATTCATGAAGAGAATTTAGTTATGAAGATGCAACTTGTTCATCTTTGACACACACAATATATAAACACACACACAGACACAGATTTCCCTCTGACTATAATGGCGCCGATTTATTCCTAATGACTTCTAATTTCAGCTGTCATTTTGTTGTAGAATATTAATCCACTCCTCAAATATACACACACACAGTCATTTCCAGTGTTATTACCAGTTGGGTACTACACATTGCTTATATGTCCAACGTGTTGTAATTGGTCTGGAAATAGCGTGTTCTTACCTGGGGGTCTGAATGTGTCTAAAGTAAGAAATGTAAAAAGAAATACAGCAAATTTGTAACATAAATTCTAGGGCTGGGCACGTTAAAGTGTTATTATGTTATTGTCCCCGCATTAACACATTAATTAATTAACGCCGACAATTATTTTATTGCACTTTAACGCAGTTTTTATTATTATTGTTATTTTGAAAGTCCGTTGCTCTCTGGCTCTGAAACAAGCAGTGGAGGGAGGCTTCAGCAGACTACGCTGGATGCAGCGTGTGGGAGAAGTAGATAAACAAGACAAGTGAACAATTAAATGCCACAGTGAAGTGGATACACACTGCGTGCTGATTAGTATTTGGGAAGATGTTGAATCTTAGCAACGTTCTTAAAATCACAACATAGTCGCTTGGCCCTCAGGCTTGCTCTTTGCTCCAGTGATCAGACAGGGAGAAACTCCACGAGTAAACGGCGGGCGCTTTATGGATACTTACCATGGCAACAGCTTCTGTGCGCTAAACAGCTGTAGCCTATTTAACTTAAGTTAAAATTAAAGGCTTCACAACTTTACCTGATAGGCCTTTATCTAGTTTTGCGGGGATGCTCTGCCATGTGAATTCCCTCCTGTTGATGTCCTGATAACTATTTAGATTCTGGAAACTCACAAACAGTCTCTCTTCCAGTGATTTGTGCTCCGCGTCGCAAACAAAAAGACAATTCAACTTCGTCAGCAGGCGGGCGTGTGTGAGAGGCGACCACTTCACCTCACTCTGACAGGGACACTTGCTGCTGAACATAGACTGTTTCTGCTGCTCCCTGATAAAAGAAAAATCTTTCTGCTGATACCTGAAAACAGATTTATATATGTTGCTCAGAAGGAGCCTGATCATGCGATTAATCACGATTTAAAATTTTTAATCGTTGCCCAGCACTAATAAATACATTCAGAACATGTTTTATTAAGGCTGTTAAAAATTTAATGTTTCATCGTTGATGGTCCTTCTTGTCAAGATACCTAATAGCAGCAATATACTGTACTCCTATGGCCCATGACAAATACAATGTCAACTCGCAATAATATAAGAATTGAAAATTAGAATACTTAACCCACACAGAAAGAATCCAGATCAAGACAGTAGTTGTATGAATCTGTGCTGCTTTTCTTCAGGTGATCCAGTTTCCGGTGTTTGACCACTTGATGTGCTTGTATGAGTGGGCCCTCATTTTGTTTTTATTATGCATAAGGATGCACACGCTCAAGCATGCGGGTGGCACGGCTAATTAGCTGAACAGTTGGTGGCAGTAACATGCCGACAAAGGCAATGAAAATTACTAGCAGGAGCCCTGACCAACGAGGAATTCCTAGTGCACAGACAAGGATGAAAAATCTTGCAGTGCCAGTGTTCAGCGTTTCACTGGTTGTGGTCATTCACATAGCCACAAGTGTAGGTTTTAGAACAAATGCTTAGAAGCTTTAATAAAAACACTTGTAGAGTGAAATATAAAATAAACAAATATACAAAACAAATACAGTTTATTTTTCATTAAAGTAGATAAAATCCTTTTCACCCATTCTCCGCTCCCCTCTCCTCCAGGTCCTGCAGCCAGACTTCAGGTTGGACTACTGCCGGCTGTGGCAGGCTCTGATTAAAAATGAAATGTCTGGGGTGGAGCGTTACAGCCGCAGACTGGGAGCTGGAGATCTGTACCCGCTGTTTGCCTGTGTTCTCACCGCTCGCTCCTGGACCGCCGTCAATGCCGGCATCAGTTCTGTGCCTGTCACACACTCTGAGGTATGAGCGCGCACACAAATGTAGGATTTCTTCCAATTATACATTTAATATATGAGAGGTTCATGACCCAAAGCTAAATGGGAAAAAAAACAAAACCATAAAAACATAAACTAGACCAAGAGAAAGGTCTGAAGCCTAGGTATCTAGAAGCTGGAACAGCAACCAACACAGCCAATATAGTTATAGTATGTGTACAAGTTGGAAGAAAAAAAGAATTACAGTTACACATGCAAAGCCCAAGTCAAGCGCGAGCTGTTAAAACTGAAGCTTATGAGATCATCAGACATGCATGAGATGACGACGAAACACACGGTTGAAATGCATCTGGTGTAGACAGGATGACAGATCTGGAAAACTGGCGGAAGTTTCAGAACCTCTGCAAGAAAACTGCAACTTCCATGGCTAGATACCACAAGAGCAAAGTGGGAAAGAATGTTGTGACCCTTCATTTAAGCTTCGTTAGGATTTTGGGTGCAAATTTAGGCTCAGCTTTAGGCTGGCAGCTTAATATGTTGCCAGAACAGGTTTTTAAATAATTTAACATAATGCCTATCACTTAGACTAAAATGGGGCCATAATGCATCATTAAATATACATGTGTTAATTTCTGTTTTTGAAATTAATGATCTAAATTAATGTGTTCAATTTGACAGCCATGCCTAAGGCTCTGTGAAGCCACACATTTAGTGTGATCCAAGATATCCAGTGTTTAGCCAGTAATATTGATTAAACTGTCCTTTTCTCTGAGCTTCATTTTGAATATGTGGTGAACGTGAACACTCAGGTAGTAAGCTTTGAATGAACCATCGCTACATTGATGACTAATGTAGCTTTTTGTTTGGGGCTTGGAGCGAGTGATTGTAGTGCTTTTAAATTGGGTGCTTTTTGTGTGTTGCAGCTGCATTACTGATCTGACATGTTTGTCTGCAGAATGTGGTTTCAGAGATGTAGCTGCAGGGAATCTGGAGACAACGTGCAAGCATCGGTGAATGTTTGGGTTTAGTCAGGTTTGACCTTTAGTCAGGTGTGGTTGGGACTGGGAGAGGCTGCACTGAAAGCTGCCAGGGCTGGGAGGAAACAGAGCTGCTGCCCGAAGCAGGGACAGCTAGCAGCAGCTGGGTGAAATCGACTGGGTGAAATCGACCGCCACCCGCCCCGCCCCGCCGCTATCCGTTCAAAACATAGTCGGACTTGCCACTAGCAAGATTGCCCAGCAACATTGCTCAAAAAGTTGCCCCATGTATCATTAGCTTAAGGTGTGTGTGTCTGAAATTCCGTTCAACAGGCTACTCATCCTGGGACAAAAAAGAAACTCAGGCTAGGCCACTGGTAACTCGAGTGTGCTGTGATTCAAACATAGACAAACATTTACCTGTAGGTGCTCCTGTTTAACTATAAATAACTATCAATGCGTTTGGGAAATGACAGAAGGTTAGAATATACTGTTATGGAGCTAAAGGTAAAAAATTGGGTGCACCTAAATTTTGTGGTGGTGCACCTTAATGAAACATTTCGGACGCACCAGTGCAACCAATGCAAGAAGTTATTCTGGAGCCCTGAAATGGTTTTCCCAGATCGGTGTGAAAGAACGTGACTGGCCTCAACCTCATCCAACCCGTGGGATGAACTTGACTGTGAAGCAGGCCTTATCACCCAACATCAGTGTTGGACCTAACGTATGCTTTTGTTGCTGAATGGTAGCAAATAGTTACGGCCATGTTCAACATCTGGTGGAACGACTGAAACCGGAAAAGTGGAGGGTGTCTACATACCTTTGGCCATGTAGTTTAACAGGTGATTTTAGCAAATATACACTAATTTTCCAGCCAAGGAGGCCCAAATATTAAGACAAAACATTAAAATGACTAGAACTGTTATAGTTAATCTTTTTTTTCCCCAAGGTGAGACAGTTTTTTGAATCCATCAGCATAAAACTGGTTTGTGCGTGTTTGTTAAGTGTCCCATTAACCACAGGGATTCCACAATGCCATCTGTGTTCGATAGAGTTTATTTATACCTCTCTTATGCAACATTTTGAAGCTGGCAAAAGTACTACACAACAGTCTGCTACAGTGTGCCACCCCCTCACACGCAATGGGCAGTACACGACAGAATTTGGCAACGACCAATACATGAATAACTCCCTGTGTCGTTTTTGGTATTTCTGAACACGACATGTATATTTTTGGGGAATCATACGGTGGAGTTGACATCCGGACAGAGAAACCAATAAAAAGGTATTGTTAATATTCTTATGTTGAACGTGTCTGAACCTGTTTAATACACTACAGTGTATCACACAAAAAATAGATTTTTAGATATTTGAGTAACATTCATTATTGATGTTTTAGGGATACCAGTATTGAAATGACATCATTTTGGTTATATTTATTATTTCAAACAATGTGCAACCTTTACTGGACTCAGAATGGTTGGATTTTTCCAGACTGTCAAAATCAACTCTAAAAATATCTGTGTGTGTGATATAACTAAAATTGTACCAAAGGAGGATTAAATGATTTAATTTTAACATTGGCAGCCCTAGTCTCCCACATGCTGTAATATCCCACAGGAGAAAAGACAAGAGAGAAGAGTGTTCTGCAGTTCATGCTCCCAGACTTCAAGTTTTGTGTGTGTGTGTGTGTGTGTGTGTGTGTGTGTGTGTGTGTGTGTGAGGTGAGAGAGAGAGAGCAATTTAGCCGTGTGTGTTTGGAGAGGCAAAATTTTACAACACAGGGCTGTACAATGAAATGTAAGTTGTAGCCCCTTGGTGCTACACACGCACATAGAACATACTTAGACTAAAACTAAATAAATTGATTAAAGAAGAGAGAGAGAGAGAATGCTGAATTCTAAGGTAGTTGGCAACTGAACATGAAACACAAAGTCAAAAATCAGAGACTGTTGTGCCCACGTCTGAAGGCCACCGCGACCAGGGGTGGTAACACCCTGGATCATGTTTATACAGACATTTCTGGCAGCTGCAAAGCCCTCTGCTGCCCCATTTTGGTCCATCAGACCGATACCCTCTATACCGAAACACCAACAACATCAAAGATATTTATTTATTTATTTAAGTGATCGAGTCCATCACAGGCTACAAAAGCAGGCGCATCATGTCGTGCCACTCAGCTAGTTGATGTTAGTACTGACATATCTCACTGTCACAGCAGAGGGTTCTCACCTGCTTCAAGACAGCCTCCATCGTTCTTGTACCCAAAAAGTCTGCAGTGTCTAGTCTGAACCACTACTGCCCTTTGGTACTCACCCCTATTCCAATGAAGTGCTTTGAGAAATTGGTTCTTCAGCACATAAAGACCAATATCCCAGTCAGTCTGGACCCTCACCAGTTTGCTTTCAGAACCAACAATTCGAAAGAAACGCATTTGGGAAACCGCCGGTTTTAGGCTGGTCGGCGAGAGTTGAAAAATGTTCAACTTTGGGAAAAATGCTGTCACTTTTTAGCCACCCGTCCAGTCACAGTGCAGGAGGGGCGAGGAAAACACCACACAAGCACGTCTGATCTTGAACGAAACGATGTGCCTACTTGCCGAGGTGTTTCCTCGCCCGCAAAATCGCATGAGCCCACGTACCGACAGTCTGTGCTCTCATGTTACAGCCTTCTCTTCATGTAGAGTAACGGACAGAGCAAGTTGGCCTACATAGGCTACTTTGTCGTGACATTTTTACATTCAGTAAAATTAGGTAGCCTACTTGCAACATATCACCTCCACGGATATTATGTATCATAGCAACTACAGCGTCTCAAAAAAACCCCGCTGCACCTCCAAAGCGCACCCTAGCACTCCCAGCTAGGCGTTTTCAGAAGAGCAGGTGGTGTTTTCAGCAACACCAGCATTCTAAAGGTGGCAGCATTTGGTTTCAGTCTTTAGAATGTTCAGAAAACTAACTGCCAGTTCCACACTGCCCGACAGCAACTGATCAGACTTTTGTTGCCTATTTTGGCTACAGGCCTACTCTGTGTTTTTAGCAAGTGCAATACTACAACACTCCATATTTCAACTGGTTATAAAAGGACTGGGTTGGTTGGCACAGAGCAAGCAAAATAATGTCATAAGGATAATTGCAAGAGAGACACTTCTTAATTTATTCATAGCCTAACCCAGACATGAATCAAGTTAATTAAAGACTACTGCGGCCCATCGCAATATCAGCGCTGACCGCCACATACTGATTTTGTTTTTATTTTATTTTACTAGGCCTATTTAAAATCTTATTTGATTGCAGATCAGCACCGTAGCGCATTCGCGCAGCACATCCTCCCTCTCTCTCAATTCAATTCAGATTAGCTTTATTGGCATGAATGTGTAACAACAATATTGCCAAAGCATCATACAAACTACATAAGAACATTCAACCCTTTACATTTCATTAAACAAGTAATAAAAGTGTAAAGTAATTAAAGTGTATGTGTGTGTGTGTGTGTGTGTGTGTGTGTGTGTGTGTGTGTGTGTGTGTTAAAAAAATAAAAATATATTAAAAATTAAAATAAATAAATAAAACGGTAAGTGTATGTGTGTGTCCGTGTGTGTGTGTTAAAAAACTAGAATATATTAAAAATAAAATAAATAAAACAGTAAGCGTGTGTGTGTCTGTGTGTTAAAAAAATAAAAATATATTGAAAATAAAATAAATAAAATAAATAAAACAGTAAGCGTGTGTGTGTCTGTGTGTTAAAAAAATAAAAATATATTGAAAATAAAATAAATAAATAAATAAAACAGTAGGCGTGTGTGTGTTTAAAAAAATATATATTAAACATTAAAATAAATGGATAATAACGTAAACGTGTATGTGTATATTAATAGACAAAAACATTGATTAATAATAATAATTTAAAAAAAGAAAGAAATCAGTATCAAATGTAAAAACAAAACAATTACTAAAATATCAAGCAATCAAAATAATAATTTGAAAATTTGTACAATTATTTATCAGTGTGAGTTTCCACTGGTTATCCTCACTTCATGGCATGAGGA